ACTGTTGATTTTGTAGGGCTGTTACCACTTCGTCGCCTACTGCCAAGAGACGATGGGTAAGACTGTGTATGGGATATTATTTGACTCTGTAAAATTTAGGTAACCAAAAAGTAGCTGATCAGCGGCATGAGGTACATTAGAGCAGAATTCTTTATTTTTATTGCTGAAGCTCAAAATATCCGTTTCCTTCGAGCCGAGATTACGGATATATGGCTACTAGAAACGTCCTATTTTTACAACATTCAGCTGAGGTTTTTCATAACGTTTCTCGTTTTCTGGTTAAACACTCTTGTATTAGCTGAGAAAAAGGCTTTCGTTTGGCGAGTTATCCAGGCGTAGGCGTCAAAATTCGCGGGTATTTGTAAGGCACAGATGGACGTTTGGTTTATCCCTGCCAGTCGGTCGGTTGATAGACCGTGGTCAACACCGAAACATTGTGTAAAACTGTAGTAAATGGCTGTCCCTGAGGTGCAGATTTGATTAGCATAAACTGATATTTTGGTTGCTCTTGTTGAGTTTGTCTATGTTTGTTCCACTATGGACAAAGAAGTCGGAAAGAGTTAGAACAGTTGCAGATGTTCGCTTGATCAAGATATATTAAAATTGAAAGAGCAGAAGTCTGTTGTGAAGTCTTTCAGTGACTTTCATCCAATAATGTATTAACAAAGGTTGATGATGATGACATTCCATGTTAAGCGACTGATTCGTCATATTTATATTGACCTATGAAGGTAAATGTCTAAAAAGTGTGCGGATGGCCATTCCGCCAGGTTGAGGCGGTGGTACTCCCGGCCACTGGCGAATGATATCCTCTTGAGACGACAACCTCATGATGTTCTCTACTTCTCTGAATCCGTTGAGCTGGATGATGACTGGGAAAACTTCTCAAAGGTTGACACCCTAAATGAACTGAAGAACAACTTCTGGCTGAAAGACGCTCAGGGATAATCAGGAAAAATAGGTGTAGCTTATCGTGTCAGCCTAAACAACACCTACTGTACGGTAAACCGTGGCAACGTGACTAGTAAGCGGACCCAGAAATTCTTCAAAACGTATGCCGCCCTCCATAACTGAGAACACTATCGACAAACGCACTTAATGAGGTCTGTTTCAAGAAAGCGGAGAAGATCAAAGCATACGTGATATAAATATGCGAATTTATCATGCAGTGAAGTCACGGAGTCAAAGGTTTCCTCGGAAACGCCTTTGATATCCTATGTGGAGCCGGTTTAGTTGGATTCATGAAAAAGGAGAGAGTGTAATATTCTTACTGAGCTGTGATATCAAGCATCGATTATTTGATTCTGCAGATAGACAAGAAAGGAACGATAAAAATGATCGAAGTTTACAGCTGAACCGAACAAGCTGAAGATGATGAGGTCAAGAGCTTCTAAGAGGATCCAAAAGCCGTATACAAAGTATGGCTAAATATACCACCTAGTACTCTTCCGTAGTAGGCGTGAATCGAATGTTCCCCAGAAGCCGCTCCAAGTCACCTTGGATGAGGTTGAGTGGCAATCAGAAACATAAAAAATGTCGCCTGTCCAGAATAGACGATTTGAGACCAGAACACCTATAAGCTGGAGGAACAATCTTCCTTTTAGCACGTTCCAAACTCTTTACGGAATTTGTCAGACAAATACGATGGCTAATCTGAGAAATCATCTTGAACGCGTCGAAGACCTCAAGAACTATTAACCAACTGTACTTTTGTCGCAAATCTACAAAGCTTTCACCTGCATCATTCTGAACAGCGCTCAGAAGGATTTTGAAATAGTCACAATTTCAATTAAAATTAGATCAATTTTCGAACAGGGTTTCCTACCACCGACTACATACAAGTTATTCAGCGTCCTGTTGAGCATTGCAACGAATATCAAGTTCAACAAGTTATCAACTATTTTTTTTGCTTTCATTGACTATATGAAGGCATTTGCTTTGATTGAACTGACGGGTGTGTTATACGTTTTACATGAACAAAGACTAAACCCTGGGCACAGTATATAAGTCACAGTCACACCCATAATGAGGACAAGTTAAATAACGAA